CTTACACATTACATAAAACATGACATTATGTATCATATTTGGTGACTATATTGTTGGCCAAGTTGTTTGTACATGTAGAACAAATAACATTAGTGTCCTATATTTAGATGTTCCATTGGGTGCGTTTGGTACGCGGACGGGACGGAACGGAACGGGACGGAACGGGACGGGACGGGACGGAACGAAGGTGTAATTTTTGAAAAAGACATGGGGTATATTTGTCTTAAAATGGCAAAACTGTGGAACAAACCCGTTCCAGGGGGGAGAGGTGGAACGCAAAAACACCCAAAATCTGTCCCGTGGAACAACCCGTTCCACCCATTTTTAGCGCACCAAACGCGGGACGGAACGCCTCGTTCCGTTCCGTCCCGTCCCGTCCCACGTACCAAACGCACCCTAAGAGCAACTCCACCTCAATGGGGTAGGCTGGGACAAAGCTTGAAAAATAGGCTGGACTACACAAAATACACTCCAACCAAGCGAAATAGGCCAGCCCACAACCCAAGTCAGCATGTAGGCCGGGCCAAAATGTGCTGAGCAATGTCCTGGCCTATGTGACATCACGCCGGCGTCAACGAGGCACACTGAGTTTTTTTGGGAAACGCACATGGGCTGCGTTCCTGACAAGAAAAAGATCGTGAGGCTCGTCATTGCAGCGCAATAAAAGGGAGCGGGGAGAAGCCACATGGCGTGTCTTCGGCCGTTGGATTTCCAATGGTAAAAAAATTTTGAAATTCAAAACCAATGGCTAGTGACGTGGCGCGTTCTGGGCCGTTCAATTCCTAGATCAACGGTCCATGATTTTCGGCCAAAAAACATAAAAAAGAAGAAGCAAACGATCCGAATTATGACAGCCGGCCACGTGCCCAAATTTGGGTTGTTGGTTATCAATCTTTTTCAAATCCAACGGTCCAGATTAATTAACATATTAAAAATTATTAAAAAAATCGTATATTACGGCTAGCCTATTACGAGACTTAGTCTACTTCCCCACGCTGCACCCGTTAGTGTAGATAAATCGTATATTTTGAAAAAAAAGAAAAAGAAAAAGATTTTTTGTCTTTTTATTTTTAACCAATTTTATATTATTGTTTTTATTTTATTTAATATGCTATTTCGTACTTATCAACAGCGTTGCGGAGAAATAGCTACTGGCCTACCATGAACTGGTACTTGTTTGTTTCTTTGTTTTGTTTTTATTTTCCAGACCAAACTAGAATTTATTTAATCGCCAAAAAAGAAGGAAAAAAAAAAAGCTATATCTTTATTTGGAATTGTCATCATCCTAACTAACCTTCCAGAATTTAAATTGCTTTTTTATTTCCATGGTAGATGTATCATGTAAAAAGCACAACCAACATATAATCAATTTTGCTATCATGTTTCGTTTTAATTGTTTTATTCAATATTTCATCTTTTTTTGTATTCGTTGAATCAGAAATGGCCAAATGCCTAAATAGAAAATTTGAATTTCTCCATGGAAGGTGGAAAGATTATTTTCTTAAGAATTTATCTACTTCGATTGAACCGTTTTAAATCTTTTTTTTTATGTCATTTGCTTCAATTTTTCGATATATAAGATTTTGGACCTAGAACCACATGAGTTCGGTTGAACTGAAACTTGCTTCATTAATGCGATGAACGTCATTACCCAATTATAATCTATATATCATTTTTGTAAGACTACAATCTATATATTATTGAACAGTTGTATAAATATAACTTATGAGATTTGTGAAGCGAGTAGATTAATCAAACTTACCTAGTGACAAGAACGGGAGAAATCTATTATCTATACCATATGCCTGCAGCCATCTATATAAAATGAAATTATATTTTTATATTTCCAATTGCCAACTCAGGTTTGGAATTTAGGTGGATCTGGGTTGATTCTTAATGGGTTGCCCCAGGTTTTTTTTTTTTTTTTTGAGAAACTGGAATATTCATTAGTTCAACCTAATTGTGTTCTGTTTGTCAGTCCAAGCTCAACAAATGTTTCCTCTAATCTTTTTATATAACTTTAGTTTAAGGTTTAGGCAAAATGGGGTTGGACCAGCCCAACCTGCACACCATTTGTTGTTGCTAATACTCTGTGTTTGTTAGTTTAATTCGTAGCACAAATTATTATACATATAGCAAAAATTAGTGTTCATCGTGTGAGAGAGTGCACTGTTTATTAACAGTGTGTGGACGATTTTGCCCCCGCTTGATTTGTTTTATTTCATTTCTGCCTTTTAAGTGCTTTCACTTAGGGCTGGGCACGGGCCGGGCCGGGCCCATTTTTGAAGGGACCGGACCGGACCCGGAATTAAAGGAGACAGGGCGGGCCGGGCCGGGCATTACAATTCTGAAAATAGGAACCGGACCTTACCCGGCCCGGTTGAAACGGGCCGGTTTGGTCCGGGTACACGGGTCCTTTTTGTTTTTTTTTTTTCCTGTTTAAAAATGTTTGCTGCACACAGATTGCTTGCAGTTTGAAAAAACTGCACAGATTGCAGTTTCTCAAACTGCACAGATTGCAATTAAAAACTGCACAGTACATACAAGAATGACAATAGGCATCCAAGAGCAGTTGAAATGAAAGATTGCAATAACATTTGAAATTTCCACCGAAAATACTCAAATTTTCAAATGCTAGTACATACAAGAATGACAATAGGCATCCAAGAGCAGTTACTCTTAACATTTCCTATTCACATTTTATCCCAGAAGATGACTAAGTTACAAAACAGACTTCTAAAAAATTGATTTTTTTTTTATAACAATCCAAATGAATGAAAAAGGATTTTATTATAGAGAAAAGCCATTCGTTTGAAGCAACTAACGAAACTTTGCATCAGAGTAGGAACACATGAAACAAGATAGCAAAGATAGTTAATGACGAAAGTTATTTTGATGCTACGCCAAGACAAGCATAGCCATTCCACAATAACCAAATCAGTAAAACTTTGCATCAGACTAACTTTTTGTTTGATATTTGCTCACTCTGCACATTCCACAATAACCAAATCAGTTAATTAAGAAATAAAATGCTCACTCTGCACATTCACTCAGTTTCCCGATATTCTGGCTCTCAACAATCTTCAGAATCAACGACTTGTTCTCGTCCAAGTACTGCAGGAAAATTTAAAGAGGGTATTTAACAATAGGATAACAAGAATATAATACAGACCAGAAGAGCGGTAAGCGAAAAGGTTCTAAAATTTCTGAGTAAGAAATTCACAGTAACGCTAACGAACAGAATCAAAGTACGATTATTAGTAGTATGTGTAACCAAACCAACTGAATCAATCTAACAACAGTGCTTACTCAAATTTATGAGAAAGATGGAAGTAAGCAACTGGGGCAAGTGACACATTCCGAAAGAGACAAATAAAAAAAGACACCATTGTTGTGCAAAAGAAAGATTATTGGTCACTAGTTCCTACTTCCTATCACTAGACAAACTTTTGCAGGGTCGACAAAACAGCTGCACTTATCTGAAAACCGACACTGGAAACATGCTCGATAACAAGATGAAGACACGACCTGCGTTAGAAACATTCAAGGGAACAGAATCCTGAAGGTTTCGCTGTTTTGGTGCCCGAAGAAAGAACATGCCAAACGAGCACTTTAAGGAGATAATCTTAGTTTTAAACCAATCCATAGCTACCATTTCGGTGCAACTACAAATGATTAGTCTTTGAGTATGCTAATTTGCTATTTCGTAACGAATTTTTCTGTGCAACTCGAAATCTAAACTAGACCAGCCAATTTAGTCCAAAATAGTACTATATCTACAAGGAGAATGATGTGAAGAAACTAGCAAAACCTTCAACTTATGTCCTACAAAATTAATGGAATCAAATGGCCAACCAAAACAGATGCACATAATGTAAATGCAATCTGTAAGGATCAAGCCAAATACTTTCATAATTCTAGGGATGCCATCAAAGATTTTTCGAGAAACCGACGCGTAAATAACCCTAATTCCAGAAATTCACATTAATAGTAAAACCTAATTCAAAAATACCTAAATTTTATAGGGATGATGGTTGGTACTTGCCTTGGTACTGGTAGTAGCAGTGTCACAGAGTCGGAGTCGGATGATGACGGCGGAGGTGGTGATGGGGGGTGATGATGTTGGTCGCGACTCACAGAGTCGGAGTCGAGGGAAGGGATAGGGATTCGACGGAGAGAGATAGGGAGAGGGACTCAGGGAGATGGAGTCGAGGGAGAGTCTGAGAATTTGAGAGACTGAGGAGGTCTGAGGCTGCTGTGGCTGAGGTCCTGAGGATGCTTCTGGAACTCGGGAGACTCGGGGAAGGTTGGCTAGGGTTGAAAGTTGAAAACTTGAACTGACGGTTGAGATTGGATGGAGAGATGATATTAAATCTCGTCCGTCCAATCTAACACAAACGGGCCGGTCCGGGTACCCGCGGATCCTATAATTTTGGAACCGGCCCGCCCCTAAAACTTCAATTACCCGGCCCGCCCCGCCCCGCTCTATTTTTACAAAACTAAGAACCGGCCCGTACCCGCCCCGTACCCGTATTACCCGCCCCTACCCGCGGGTCCAGGACCCGTTTGCCCAGCCCTACTTTCACTAACTCTGTGGCACTACTCCTAATGTACACGTGTTGGTAATCGTGGGGATAAGATATCTCACTTACGAGTAAAGTGGAATACTACTAAATCGTAGTACTAAGTGACTATTGTTTAATAATTTTAAGTTAAAACTTCAACCAAAATCATTGAGGACTATTTCTTAAGTTAGAAACTAAATTATTTTGAGTTAAAAAATTAGATTTTAACTTCAACCATTAGTCTACTGTCACGCACGTAAGCAAGATCTTTGCGCGGACGTAGGGCGTACGCTTAAGAAACTGAGAGCCTTCTCAGAAAAACTGCAAAAAGCCCTAGATAGATCCTTGGCAAGTGGTCCCCACTCCGCCACGTGGCACCGCGTTTTCCCTTTTTTTTTCTCTCACCCTTCGACGGCGTTTACCAGTCTCCAAAATTCCCACCATCTCTCCTTTTTGGTCAGCGTTTACCGAAAACGCCCCCCAAACCCCTCCCTCCATTTTCTTGCTCTATTTTCTTGGGAAACAAACAGAAAATCAGCTGAGAAAATCAGACACAAGTCTCACTACATCGTCGCTTGCTTTCTCCGATCGAATTTCCCGCGCTGAGGTGGAAAAATTTAGATGGATTTAGCTCCCCATGCATCACATACCTCGATTATTCTCTCATAGCAAGGGAACGAAAGCTATGGATCCGAAGAAGAACCGCCGGAAGCCGAGGCTCGAGCGCCGCAATGCGGTGAAGCACATTGACTACGACGCTGCCTCGACGTCGTCCTCACTCGATGACTCGTCGTCGTCGGCGTCGCTCTACACGCGCTCGTTCGACCTGGACCGGACGAGCTTCCGGGTCGAGGGCAACGAGGGCGATATGGAGCGGATATACAAGACCTTGGGCCTCGGACCCGACGACTTCTCGATATCGGAGGAGGACTGGGTGGCCAGGAAGATCCGCTCGTCTTCGGACCGTCTTCCCATCTCCAGATTTTACGGGTTGGATAGTCCGGATAGTCCGAAACCCGACGTATTGAGGGAAGAAGTGGCTGAGTTGTCCGATAGAGTTAGGGCTGTTACTGTTGCTGCAACTGAGTTGACTCGGGCTGACTCGGCCGTTCCAAGCGGGTTTTATAATGTTGCAGCTGCTAATTCTGTTTCAGCTGGGGTTTGTGTTGGGATCAAGGGTGTGCGGCCGCCGGTGCTCAAGCCGCCGCCGTCGATGAGGGTTCCGGTGATCGACGACGGATGCTCGACTTGGGACATTCTGAGGGATTTCGCTCCAGAAGGCGCAGGAAACCCTGTGGGAAAGAGGATTGATTCTTCTTCTGCAGCTTCCTCTTCTGATGAAAAAGAAGAAGAAGAAGAAGAAGAAGAAGAAGAAGAAGAAGAAGGAGAGGTTGGAGAGGAGGGTGCTGTGGAGATTGAGATTAGATATACTGTGCCGGTCTCTGAAGGGTGTTCATTTACGACGTCGAATGATGATGATTCTTCCAGCACCACCACTGTTTCTCCGAATGAGAGAATTTCGCCGAACGGGAGGCTGAAGCTTATTATCACTCGCTGGGAGAAGGGTGACCTTCTTGGCAGTGGGTCTTTCGGGTCGGTGTATGAAGCAATTTCTGAGTAAGTGCTCAAAGCCCTTTACAGTTTCTTATTAATGCTTATTCTTGTATATGTATTAAGATTGGAAACTTCAATATGTTTAAGAACTAAGAACAAATTTAAAGCAACAATTAGTAATTAGGAGAAACAAATGCTTTAATAGCTTGGAGGGATAAATAATGATATAATAAGCTAGCTCAGGTAAGAAAGATCAGCGTTTGAAGGATAGCTTGCTGTTCTTGGGACTTGGGAAGTAGATAGGTGGAGGCTACATAACATTTGAACTTTATTTTAATTTCAACAAAGCAAAGAAACGAAAGCATAACTAAAGTGTTCAATGGTGATGGTTAAAGAAAGGTTTCCACTTGGTTTTGAAATTTATGTGATGGAAGAGTAAATAGATGGCCTTATTTGCCTTAGTGATACTAGTGATGCAAGACCAGCCTAGCTTGATGGAGTGTTCTAGATAGGAAGTTTGAAGGGCATTATTTATATTTGATTGGAAGAATAACTTATAGAATGAAGATCTTAAGACGATAGCTGTTCGAATATGAGACCTTGCTCCAATCAAGTGCTAAATTTGCCCTAGTAAAAGCTTTTTTTTTCAGACATATATTGCAATTCAAACGGTTTTTGATAAGGGATTTTTAGGCTTCTTGTCCTTTTTATGTTTCTATATGAGTCTTAAAGCATATCTTAATTTTCCTACTTCATGGGGTTTAAAGTGTTTTTGAGAACTACAAGCCAATATATCATGCCATCCTGGTGGTATGCAAATGTATGGACAACTGAGTTATGCTAGGAACCTTTTTTGCAAATATAATTCTAGGTGGTGAGTAGCAGATGTACTTGGGTTTGTTAAGCATAAGAGGAAGGTGATTCATATGAGAGGTTATGGTTGCTATGTTTTTAGAGATAGCAGACACCTGTTCTACAAATAAGCCCAGCTGAGACATACTTTTGGCTGGATCAGCTGTCTGGATTTTTTTCTGAGCTTAAGCCCGATAATAGCTTGAACCTTAGGCCCAAGCTTGTTTTGTTAGGAAATGAAATGATTGAGGCTTTGTGGTATCGTCTTTTCTTTTAATAGGGGAATGGGAATGCAATTTCGTAGTTATTTTATCTTTGCCACTTTGACGTAGTTATTTTTATCCATAGAACCTTTATCCCTATACGTTTAGTTTGATAACTGTATATGAAAATGAATTAGTTCTTTGTTTTGCTGCAAAGCTTACCTAATGAATTAAATAGTACAAATGTGCTTTTTAAAGAGCGACTATGCTGCATCTTTCCCTTATTTGAGATATCCTATTGATTATGTTTTTCCTTTCCTCCCAGTGGCGGATGCTTCATTGCTGTCAAGGAAGTTTCATTGCTTGACAAAGGAAATCAGGGAAAGCAAAGAGTTTATCAACTTGAACAGGTGACAGATGCTTTTGTTGTGTCTGGTCTTGTGTCCTGGTTTTGCATGTCAATACCCTGTTATTAAGTAATTGATTCAGTTATTATATGTGAGTACAGCCTAGGTTGATTATTGTTTCTTGCTGACATACTTTTCCTCATTTTGTGTTTCCCTGTTTTTTTAATTTTTTTCTTTCAGGAGATTGCTCTTTTGAGTCAGTTTGAACATCATAACATAGTTCAATATTATGGCACCCAAAAGGTACTCCTTTTTATTTCCTTGTTCTTGACTTGAATGTATGCCCCATGTTTTTTTGGTCATGCTATGCCCCCATGATGAGTATTTATGCATGTCAAGATCATCTGTTCAGTATATAAAATGCTACAAATTCATGCCAGTATAACTTCTTTTTTATTTATATTTGACAGTGTCATGAGAATGAGAATCATTGATGTTGGTGTGCCCAACTACAAAAAAGTCCACCTTAATGTACACAAAATATTCTCATACATTGGTATATTTTGTCTTTCCGGCGTGGAATTTTTTATATGCTATCGATATTACTATCTTTTATTTAGTTTTCTTATTTTTACTCACATACAAATTGATTTTAGACATAAAATTATACTGGCCACGTTGTCATGTATATACCTGGGGGGTTACCGGTTAGTTTCAGCCACTTTGGCCATACTATTTGATGGTCTTCTTTGACTCCAAAAGTATTAAGCATTTGTAGTATCAACAATTGTAGATATATTGGGTGTAAGCTTAAGCATTTCTGACCTGTTTCATATTGATAGTATATTACATTGTTTGATTATGATTTACTCTAGTTTTCCCATAGCATACATTTACTAATTAAGCATTAGATTGCTCTTGTACTTATCAATCTAATCTGGTTCTAAGCACCAGTATCTGAAATATAATTTGCTCAATGGTTGTTGTAGGATGAATCAAACCTTTATATCTTTCTGGAGCTTGTAGCTAAAGGTTCCCTTCAAAAACTCTATCAGACATATCATCTTACAGATTCTCATGTATCTGAATACACAAGACAGATCCTGCATGGACTGAAGTATCTTCATGACCGAAAAGTGGTTCACAGGTAATTCATGTCACAAGATATGTGTTTATTTGAAAGTTATATTATGTGGATTATGTTTTCCTATTCCACCAATGAGCCATTTCATGTCAGGGTCATCCCATAACAGAATGAAAATAAAATAGAAGTGGCTGTGCCATCAAAATGTTCATTCCATGCTTTGCTTCTGTAATTTTGTCTGCATCCATTCTCATCCATTTGTTTCGTGTATCAAGGGACGTTAAATGTGCAAACATTTTGGTGCATGCAAATGGATCTGTGAAGCTTGCAGATTTTGGATTGGCAAAAGTTTGTCTTTTCATTCCTCGAAATCTTTGCTATTTTAGTGTTTTCGATATTTGCAACTTACAAGTGATTACGAACTATTTTTCTCCTAATATTTTTTGTTGCATCCTTTTTTTTCAGACTATCCAAAATATGAATGACATTAAATCTTGCCAGGGGACTGCATTCTGGATGGCCCCAGAGGTTTGCCTTTACATTTTCATTTTAATGTCGGTTATCAAAAGTTAAAAATATTAGACTATTTTGAATGCTTATGAGCTCTCCTTTTCTTTTAATCGAGGACATAAAGTACTTCAATTTGATACTGATGAAAGCTTGTTGTACAATCATGGATTGCTAAATTTAGTGGTTATTGCAGGATGATTTTCCCAAAGTTTTCTTGCTTCCTGAACCCTGATGAAATGTTAATGTGTTTCAGTCAGGTTGCTGCATTACCTAGTATAACATTTGCATAAAACATTGCTAAATAAGTAAAGTATCAGGAGTCAGTTAAGTGAATATTTTGAAAAAGAAGATGGAATTTTCAAATGTGCAGTAGAATAGCTTTGTTACTGTGATACGATGTGCTGGCCTTGGGCTAATTCCTGGCTGGTTTTCCTGCGTGTTGTTGATGCCCCCACTGGTAAACTAAACTATCTAGAAATGTTTTTATTTTTTATTCTGAAAGCAGTTCTATGTATTTGCTCTCCTCTTTCCCTCTCCACCATCACGCCTGTTCTCACTTTCCTTTTCTTTGTTCTCTATTTTTATTTTTGTTTCTTGTGAACACAAAAAGCGAAAATGCTAATGAATGAACCCTGTACTTTTTTCTGATTTCTACCCTAATTAAATTTTCTCCAAGAACACAGCTAGACACGCAGCAATATTATTCATTGATTTTCTTTTGTTAATTAAGCTGAATTAATTGAAATAAAGTACGGTAAGTTACAGATATCCTATATCTTTTCTCATTCTAAAAAAATATCCCACATCTTGTGTCAAGGCTAGAAAATTTTATAACGATGCCTATGGCTTATGATAGTTGTCATGTTTTGATGCATCTTGCAAGTTGAATGTTTGCCAGCTTCTGTTTTTTTCTATATATCACATCACATGGAGTATCTTTTTCAAACATGTAGGCGGGATGGACCTAGTTCTGTTTTTGAAATGTCTAACCTTTGAAAAGGCTGAATATGTTGATACATGCATGTTATAGGCTGTGTCCAAATTTTATTCGAGGATTTCTCAGTCATCTTTTTCTTCTGCAGGTTGTTAACCGAAAGAGCCAAGGTTATGGGCTTCCAGCTGATATATGGAGCCTTGGATGCACTGTGTTGGAGATGTTAACTGGGCGGGTTCCATACTCTAATCTTGAATGGGTTTGTGCCAATTTCATTATAAGTTGTACTCTTTATGGTCCGTGCTCTAGTGATGATGACAATGTGTTGGATGGTGCATCTCTTTTGACCTCTAATTTGTTTCTGACATAGTCTCTTCTTGTGTCTCAACAGATGCAAGCGTTATTTAAGATTGGTAAGGGGGAGCCCCCTCAGGTTCCTGATTCTCTTTCCAAGGATGCACAAGATTTCATCCATCAATGCCTACAAGTTGATCCAAAAAAACGTCCCACTGCTGCTCAGCTCTTAATTCATCCATTTCTTAAGAGACCTCTTCCCACGTCTTCTGGATCAGCATCTCCTTATCATCACCGGGGGCCCAGCTGAAAACATATGTTCAGATATAAGTTGTGATATAAGGTAAAAGATTGGATTTGTGTTCCACTGCTTCATATTTGTTGCTCACTCTTCCCGCAAATGTAAACTAAAAGAAAATACTTGTAGAATCCAATGCTTTCACTGTTTAGTATTTTCTTTGCTTTTTGGTAACAGCTCTGTCCAACGCTAGAGATGCAGGACATTTTATCCACGTTCTGTAACTTGCTCCGGTATCCAGTGTTCAGCCATCAAATTTTGGCTTACGCTAGTAGAGTGCATTTGCGTTCATCAAATTTCAAGGTCGTCACAGGATCTGCTAACCCCCATTGGGTCCACACCTCCTTACTCCTAAAATCTTGCACCGTGGAGCGAGCAGTCTAGCAAGAAATTATTCAAGCGCCTTCGTCTGTTGTAGGATGTGATTTTCTTTTGCCCTTATTTAGATAGGTGTTTGATGTCCCGTGTTTTCTCCTTCTAGTTCGAAAGTAAGTTATTCAGTGGGTGAAAGATTTGTATTAGCAAAAGTTGTTGTAGTTAGATTTGTAAGAAATGGAAAGGAATCGCGATGTGTATATAATTTGTTATCGACGGTGTTGCAATTGGCAGGCGTATATAATTTGTCATCGACGGTGTTGCAATTGGCAGGCTTACGTAATACAATCTGTATTCTCTGTGTATGATATTTTACTTAGCATACAATTTAGTAGAGTACTTTCCAAGCAAGTTTACTAAATTGTATGCTAATTACAATATTATACACATCTTGAAGCAACCAAGAAAAAGTCTTTATATTCATGTTTACAAAGAAAAAGTCTTTATATTCGTGGAGACAGAATAGCCAGCTGTTTGGGAATCAGTCAACAATTTAGACTTTTTTATTTTTTATTTTGTGTAACTTGGAAAACCAATACAAAACATTCCAAGGTTTTTTATGCATTTTCAACTTAAACCATTAGTCAATGTTGACATCAACTACAAACATCTGTAGAGGCCAGTTCAGCGCTGGATGTTCGAATTGTGGACTGTGAGAAGCCGGTTCAGAGCATAGCGGAGGTGTATGCACTGCTCAACCGACCTCTCACGGTCCGCATGCAGACATGCCTGCACTTTCTTCACAGGACTAGTATTTTTATTTTTTTATTTTTTTATTTTTTATATTTGTTTCTATCACAGGACTAATATTCGGGTCTGGCTGGGCCCAGCACACACTACAAATGGACTCTCTCAGAGACTCAGAATTTAAGCTTTGTGGGCCCAAATGATTTTCAGTTGAACCCAACCAAAAAGCCTGCGGCTTCATCGTCGTTTCTTCATCTGTGATGCAGATGACAACATTATGGTGCACCACCAACCCCATCGATCGCCGCAACCATAAAAACCGCACTCAACTCCCTCTCTCCTCCCACGTGACCCGCCAAAATCGGACCTTTCACTCTCCCCCAACCCTCCTTCCACCACCCCTCACCTCACTTTCTCCGCCTCCACATTCCTACCAAATCCATTACTCTCCCTCCTCTCTCTCCTCCCCACCTCCCCCTCTCTCTCGCCGTAATCGCCGCCGCCTGATTTCCTTTCCGCCGCTTCCCAGGTACTGACTGCACCCCACTCCTCCGCCGATCTCAATTTTCGCGCCTTTCTTCGATTTCGTTTTCTAGGGTTTTAGTCTTCCCGTTTGCTTTGTCTCGATCTTTGCGAAGAACCCTTTTGCTTTGTGAATTGCTCTGTTTGTTTCTAGGGATTTCAGATTCATTTGTGAACGCGTACGTAGTATTACATGTAGATTTGCATTTTCAAATTTTCACTGCTTGTTCATGTTTTTGTCCGTACAATTTGTTTCTAAAGGATCTCGGATTGCATAAACTGTAAAGTTCAGGGCCTTCAGGCCTTTTGCCGGTCAAATTAGGTTTTTTAGCTTTTGTCAAGCGATTGATTACAACTTCTGATTTATTTATGTGACATTTTGATCCTGAAAGTAAATGCATGCTTGAGTTTTTCGTCTTTTTCCCACATTTTTGGAAGTGTTTATTCGAATAAGTGCTAGTTTAGAGCAATTTAGTCAAAATATGTAATCTTTTCAGGTTGTCTACTGCTAAATTTTAATTCTTTGTGATGTCCTCCTAGTGGTGCACCTCAATTGAAATTTGCGTGTTTAACCGAAATTGCGGGCGTAGGAGTATTAACTAACTACGGTATCTCATCAATACTTCTGGGCACACATAAGTTTTAATGTTGGTTTATAATCACTTCTAACCTAGAAGAGTCTATAAATTGCAGAAGTGAAAACATAGGAAATGTTTGTTTGTTTGTTTTTTTGTTTTTTTTTTTTTTTTTTTTTTCTGTAGTGCCTAATGTCTGAAAGGATTTATTTTTAGGGAATGGTCAAATTATTGTCACTTGTAACTTTAAACTGATCCATATGTTTAGATTATTTCTAATTCTGAATCCTAATTGTTTTTACAATCATTTCATTGTTTTATCAGCCCTGGCATGTGATGCTTCAGATGATCATTTCCACTTGTACCAAAAAAAAGACGAAGATATATTGTGCTCATATTATTGACTATTCCCTATCTTATTATATTCTAGTAAGGATAAGCACAAGCTATTGGTATGCAATTTGATGAGGTTTTAATAAGGAATACAAAATCGGGCCGATATGGGGTGAGAGTGGACTGTGGAAGAGTGTAAAAGACTGAATCAAATAAACATGAAGTATTCTGTGATTATTATGGTATTCTTGATGTTTAAATCTGTAATAAAAATTGTATTATATGAGTGGTATGCACTTATATTTCCCATGCAGAGGCTCACAGAGTGAGTTCTCTTAACAATATGACAGCTACTAAATTTGCTAATGTCAGTCAGTGGAGATTTCGTCGGATCTCCATGAATTTGTTGATATTTTTTGTTCCCAAGTCATGAAGCTAGGCCAGCCAGATCTTTACAAAGATCTGTTTGGAAATTTTTATAATTTTATCTTGGATACACTGCAAAACTTTATTTATTTATTTTAAATAACCCCCTCCCTTTTTATTCACTGGGGTTTGGTTGCTGCATGGAGAAAATTGTGCTCGTTTGATCTCAGAATCCCATGTTGTTGTCCATTTTACTTTCACTTCTTCTGTAATCTGGTTATTTTTTATGTCTCAATCTTACCCGCTAAATAAAATGATGAATTATGGTTTGTAAAGGGTAATGTAAACAAATTGTATATCGAAATTGCAAATTGTCAACAGTTGAATTGTTCTCACTTGTCAACTATAGTTCCTATGATTTTGCAGAAAATTCCTTTTGCTTTTAAAACAAAAAAAAAAGAAAAAAATTGATTTTCTGTATTAAATGGACTTATGTTTTCAAGAATGACACCACACAAATAGCATTTTGGACTTTTCCCTTTTAGGGACACAATTGTTGGATGTGTTTGATACATGAAGTCATTAAGGAGATCTTAGCGTCAATTTGCACATTTGTTTTGTTGTGCATGAGATGTATGCAAGCAACCTAGTTTGTTTACTCATCTGTTATTCTTAGAATGCTGAAGATTTGTAAGAATAATATCCTTTCCCTTTCTCTTTCTTTTTCTCTTGTTGGATTTCAGGTTGTGTTTTGTAAATGGCCAAAGTTAACAAGTTGCGACGTAAACATGACTCCCGAGCTGTAAAGAAGATCCAGCATCCATTAAAGGTTCTTAAAGATGTACATTCAAAAAAGAAACCTCACAAAGCAGTGGAGAAGAAAGATTGGGAAAATGTGACATGTTCGGTCTGCATGGAGTTCCCTCACAATGCTGTTCTCCTCCTTTGTTCCTCTTATAACAAGGGCTGTCGCCCATATATGTGTGCCACTGGCCATCGCTATTCAAACTGTCTCGAACAATATAAGAAAGCGTACACAAAAGCATGTTCAATTCAAAATTCTCAACCATGGAATGGACTGATGGATAGTTTAGGTTTCAGTTCAAGTGAAGGGGAGCCCAAGGAGAAGACAGATGTACCAGAGCTTTTATGCCCGCTATGTCGGGGGCAAGTGAAGGGTTGGACAGTGGTGGAACCAGCACGACAATATTTTGATGCCAAGAAGAGAACATGCTTGCAGGAAAATTGCTCATTTGCTGGAACTTATAAACAGCTCAGAAAACATGTTAAGGCAAAGCACCCATTGGCAAGACCCCGAGAAGTGGATCCTTTACTTCAAGAAAAATGGAAGAAGCTTGAGTATGAGAGAGAGCGAAGTGATGTTATCAGCACAATAGTGTCATCTACTCCGGGGGCAGTGATCATGGGGGATTATGTGCTGGAGCCAAACCCTGATGGCATTTACAGTGATTCTGATTCGGAGCTAGATGATGACAGCGACTCAGATGATTTTGGATTTGGTTCATTTGATATTGGTGGTCTCTTCTCACGGCGCACGATTTTGGATGAAAATGGTTTTTTGCGTGCTCCGGCTTCTCGTTCTGCCTTTGCACCTCGACGTGGTTCTGTTCGAGGCAGGGGAGTGTTGCGAAGGCTTGTCGGGCTTAGAGGTGGGGCCGTGCAGCGTAGAATTAGAGAACCTGGACGATTCTTATGATTCAAATTACCCAAATGTTGGGGAGACTGCATTCTACTTGTGCGATTTTCTTTTCAATGCATTCACCTCATTGATGCACCTTGTTATGGTATGCGTTAGAACTATTGTCATTTTCATTGGAAACTTAGGCAGTTGAACGCGCTTTTTTGGTTTCGAATCATTGCTTCTGCGGCCTGAATTGCACGCTGTGATTAGTGACAGGTTGTAGGAAATGCAGATGGCTGGGCATAAACCCTGGATACTTGAGGGCAGTCTCGTGTTCAATATTCCTCATAGGTTGTATTGATCGGTTATTCTTTGTCTTTCAACAGGGGTGAATAGTGTGCCTTATTTTATCTTCTCTTAAATTCTGAATTCAGTGACCTACCGTGTTGATTCTTTTGCCAATTTCATTTGTAGCTGGTGTACAGCTTCTGGAGGAATAATGTATTTCCTGATGTGAATCACCAGGTGGCTTTAGGACCCCTCCTTTATTTTGGACCCTCTGTTTTAGGGGTTCCTATGTCACAGCAAGTAGAATCTACTGTATTTTTCTGCTGGGATGTGAATAAAATGGAATTGATATGATATTTTCAGTATGTGTGACCTTGTGATTTGCAAGTAAGAAGAATTGACTCCTATTCCGTAAGGAGCCAAACTATGTTCTTTTTACACGTATGTTACGGATTTTTGTGCAATAACTTCCCTTGTTTCGAGTATTTTTAACTTAGCAAGATGTTTAAAATGTCTACACATGGAGGAAAAAATGGATCTTAAATTTTACTTCTGTAACAGACAGGGCAGGATAAGTGGGTTGAAAAAAGACATACGACCCATTCAAGCAAATTAACATTAAAAACTCTCAAACAGCATGATAATTTCTCTCAGCAACTTTGGATCCCTTGTTGCAGCTCCAGCCAGATATACCCCTCAGCACACACCTTAGCTTCCTCTGCCCAAACACACCAACAAAAACAATAACATCTAATTTAACATTAAGGATAATCCCATAACCAATTTGCTTATGCATGATAAAACAGAGAAAGGAAAAGAGAAATTGGCCGAAACGATCATTTCTCAAATTTCAATTTCTGAAATGAAGCAGAAACAATTTGATTAATGTGTAAGCGATTTACCAGAAAGTTAGAACTTGTTTCTGATTCGGCGGACTTGTTGTTCCTGCCTGTGATGGATTTGGGATTGCAATATACGTCTACTTCTGGTACTAAGCGCTGGTATCTCCATCTGGTCTGTGTTCTTCTGAGTCTTATTGGAGTTGTGAACCTTTTGTTTCCCACCTACCAAGCACACACGAATTTCAGTTCAATAATTTGTATACTCAAGTGCATTTCTACTACGGAGAGTGATTGGCCGGTACCAGATACAAATCTACCTACATTGTCGATACCAAATATTAAAATGATCAATAGAGTAATGCTAGATACGTACCTCAGTTTTGTAATTTATACGTTCGTATGAATCCAACTACCAAATATATATATCAATGGAGTATCGACGCGAAATCAACAATGTACCAACATTACCAAACAATCTATATATGCATGAAAACTTACCCTAGGCTTATGCCATTGCACTTTCTGGGAATCACCAGTTGTTCTTAGCTCTTGAGAATAAGCAAGGAGTCGAGCTCGGTGATCATGGATTCGTGTTTTCGCAGTCTGATGAGGGTTTTGGGAGCTAGGCTTGGGCTTGATCTTCTTAACATGATCATCAGTTTTCTGATGGGACGAATCAGACGGTGATGGTGTTTCAACATAGACAGTGATGATGACTTCCTTCTTGTTAGGCCTCTCTCTTGTGCCATTGTTCTTCTCCTCTTTCTCCAACTCTTGTTTTGCCATGGATTTGGGATGTGCTTTTTCTTGTGATTGAATTTAATCCCACTCCCTTTGTCAGGTTAATTAACTTATGTTTTTTTCTTCCTCGTAGTTAACTTTTGTTTTTGTTAATTAACTGTTTTTGGAAATATAATTTCTAATCATCAAAACAAAATATGACAAGGCAGGTTGCACTTTACCGTACTGATGGAAAAAGTTCATGCCTATACACTTCGGGTTCGATCTCCACCGATTTACTTATCTCATAACAACTAATATTTTAACTCATTAATGCTATCGTGTATAAAAATAAAACAATAAAAAAAAAAGAAGACAAGTGTTACACTGAAGCAACAAAAAACAAATATAAAACTAATAATTAACCTTTAAAAAAATATTATTCCTCCCTCTTAGGCATTCCGTTCAGTATCCACCGTAAGCCTTTTCTTGTTTGAACCTTGCGAGGCTATGCCATCCTCTAAGGTGATGCACCTAATATACTGAACTCATATAAGAATCACACTTTTACAATTGCCCAAAAAATTTGAGTGTGATACTCTGAACCCTTGCTGATCGTTGAAATCGTTGTTTTGTACAGTTATTTTGTCAGCGTTGTTCTTGCTGCACAAACTATCGAGGTATGTTATTCAATCGTATATTGTGTACGTGTTTTTTATGTTGTACGTTTCTGAGTTTTGATTTCGGTTATTGCGTTTTCAGACGTGAATCAGAGCAGCTTCCTCAACCTCAAACGCCAATTCACACGAAGGTAATCTCAATTTTGATTGATTCAAAGTTACGATCTTTAAATTGGAAAATTAAATGAATTGGGGAGGTTCTTTGTTCGCCTGATTGGAGCACAAGTTTCAATTAGGGTTTGATAGATGTGTTGGGGTATATTCACACCAAAGTAATCTTAATTTTGGAAATTGGAAATATTGTTCGTAAACCCTATTTACCGTTCTTCTGCTGCTGCTTTGTGATATTGCCCATAAAATGCATAAGTACCAGCTACAATGATGCTGAGGAATCTTTTTACAAATTTATTTACTGAAACTGAAATTTACCTCTAAATTGTGATCAAAGAATCTGAAATTTTATCAGTGAATTGGAGATTAGAAATGTAATTCTTTTATAATTATTATAAAAAATATTTGAATTCCTAGAACTCTTGAAATGAACTCTGTTTCCTTGATTTGGAAACAAAGAAATGGAGTATGTGGGAGGGAGGTATGGCCATGCCTGTGATTCTGAGAATTTCTGATCATGCAACAAGCTGTTCACTCCATGATCACGTCGAATCCTTATGAAAATGAATCCAGAACAAAATCGCGCTAAAGCTAGGGCGTCACCCGTAAGTGGCGCGCTGTGTGGCCCGAGCACAGTGATAAGTGAGCAAGGGTCGCTGTATCTCCATCGGCACCCGGATGCAGTGTTAAATGAGCAAGGGGGCCATAGAAACTTCTTTTCGAACGACTCCACTCAAAGTTGTTTGGGAGCATATGCTCCTATCAACTTTACCCGGGACACACAAAAGAAGTACTTTGATCCTATTAGACGGGGGAGGGTGAAGAAGCTAGGACAGAAGGGTAGAGTTCAAGAGAGCAAAATGCGTTTAGGAACGTGGAATATAGGAACCTTAACGGGAAAATCTATGGAAGTAGTGGAAGTTATGGTGAGGAGAAGGATAAATATTATGTGCCTACAAGAAACTAAGTGGGTTGGTAGTAAGGCAAAGGATCTAGAAAACTCAGGGTTTAAACTTTGGTATTCGGGCACAAATAGAACGAGAAACGGTGTTGGCATCATCGTGGACAAGACCTTGGTACAAGATGTTGTAGATGTCAAGAGGGTAGGAGATAGAATCATGGCAATCAAGATTGTAATAGGACAAGAACTTATCAATGTGATTAGTGCGTACGCACCTCAAGTAGGGTTGGATACGAGTTCGAAGGAGAGAAATTTTGGGAAGATCTTGGAGACTTGGTGCAAGGAATTGCTCAGACGGAGAAGTTATTTATAGGAGGAGGAGATTTAAATGGACACGTGGGCAGGGAGACAGGCAACTATGGAGGTTTTCATGGTGGCCATGGTTTTGGGGAGAGAAACGAGGATGGGGAAGCTATCTTGGATTTTGCAATGGCATATGATCTCTTCTTAGCCAACACCTTCTTTAAGAAGAGAGAAGAACATGTGATCACCTACAAGAGTGGGTCGTCAAAAACACAAATAGATTTTCTTCTAATGAGGAAAGGGGATCGTATAACTTGTAAGGATTGCAAAGTTATACCAGGAGAGAGCGTGGCTAATCAACATCGCTTGTTGGTGATGGATGTACATATCAAAAGAGTAAGACAAAAGAACAAGACTTGGAAGTGCCCAAGAACTAGATGGTGGAATCTAAAAGAAGAAAAACAAGCCATTTTCAAAGAGAAGGTAATCACCCAATGTGTGTGGGATAGAGAGGGGGAAGCTAGCCAAATGTGGGATTCCATGGCTAGTTGTATCCGAAAAGTAGCAAAAGAGGTATTAGGAGAGTCCAAGGGCTTTGCCCCACACCAAAAGGAATCTTGGTGGTGGAATGAGGAGGTACAAACAAAGGTGAAGGCTAAGAAGGAATGTTGTAAAGCCTTATACAAGGAGAGGACCGATGAAAATGGTGAAAGGTATAGAAAAGCGAAGCAAGAGGCGAAGAAAGCTGTCAGAGAAGCTAAGTTAGCGGCTTACGACGATATGTATAAACGACTAGATACCAAAGAAGGAGAGTTGGATATCTATAAACTAGCTAGAGCAAGGGAAAAGAAGACAAGGGACCTAAACCAAGTGAGGTGCATCAAGGATGAGGATGGAAAGGTTCTTGCTACAGAGAACGCGGTTAAAGACAGATGGAGAGGTTATTTTCATAATCTTTTCAATGAAGGACATGAAATGAGTGCTTCTTTAGGGGAGTTGAGTAACTCAGAAGAGTGTAGAAACTACTCCTTTTATCGTCGAATCCGGAAGGAAGAAGTGGTTGTAGCTTTGAAGAAGATGAAGCATAGAAAAGCAATAGGCCCAGACGATATACCAATCGAAGTGTGGAAAGTTTTGGGAGAGACAGGTATAACATGGCTCACTGACCTTTTCAATAGGATTTTTGAAAACGAAGAAGATGCCAAATGAGTGGCGAACGAGCACTTTGGTGCCTATCTACAAGAATAAGGGCGACGTACAAAATTGCATGAACTATAGGGGTATTAAGCTAATGAGTCATACAATGAAGCTCTGGGAGAGAGTCATTGAGCATAGATTGAGGCAAGAGACACGGGTTTCGGACAACCAATTCGGGTTCATGCCAGGGCGCTCAACCATGGAGGCAATCTATCTCTTACGAAGATTGATGGAAAGATATAGAGATGGGAAAAAGGATTTACACATGGTCTTTATAGATTTGGAAAAAGCGTATGATAGGGTCCCAAGAGACATTCTTTGGAGGATTTTAGAGAAGAAAGGAGTACGAGTAGCATATATCCAAGCTATAAAGGATATGTATGAAGGAGCAAAGACTGCCGTAAGAACTCATGAAGGACAAACCGAAAGCTTTCCCATAACTGTAGGATTACATCAAGGCTCATCCTTAAGTCCTTACCTTTTTGCGTTGGTAATGGATGAGTTAACAGGACATATTCAAGATGATATTCCTTGGTGTATGCTTTTCGCAGACGATATAGTGTTGATAGATGAAACTCAGGAAGGGGTAAATGCAAAGCTTAACCTTTGAGAGAGAAGTGTTGGAATCTAAAGGTCTTCGCCTAAGCCGATCAAAGACAGAATATATGGAGTGCAAGTTCAGTGCAAATGGAGGCCAAAACGAGTTAGGGGTGAGGATCGGAGATCAAGAAATACCAAAGAGCGACCGTTTTCGTTACCTAGGATCTATCTTGCAAAAAGAACGGAGAATTAGATGGAGATCTCAACCATAGAATACAAGCTGGATGGATGAAGTGGAAGAGTGCATCCGGCGTGTTGTGTGACCGCCGTATGCCACTGAAGCTCAAGGGAAAATTTTATAGGACGGCAATAAGGCCGGCGATGCTGTATGGCACAGAATGTTGGGCGGTGAAACATCAACACGTACACAAAATGGGTGTAGCGGAGATGAGGATGCTTCGTTGGATGTGTGGGCACACGAGAAAGGATAAGATTAGGAATGAGGATATCCGGGGTAAAGTAGGAGTAGCCGAAATTGAAGGAAAGATGAGAGAGAAAATCGGTTACGGTGGTTTGGACATGTGCAAAGAAGGCCTACTGACGCTCCGATTAGAAGATGCGACTATGGGACAAAGGTTCAGGGCCGAAGGGGTAGAGGAAGACCTAGGAAAACTTTGGAAGAGACTCTAAAGAAAGACTTAGAGTACTTGGATCTAACGAAGGACATGACACAGGATCGAGCACAATGGCGTTCTAAGATTCATATAGCCGATCCCACTCAGTGACTTGGATTTTCCAAGTCTCCAACCAAGAAGTTTTCCTCACTCGAGAAATTAAGGGAACACTACCCCAACCTACATGCTCCACTCAGAAAGCTTCAACATACAAGCTTCAACAAAAGAAAATTCAAAGAACTTAGCGAAGAAGGCTTTGGTGTATTTAACACAATACGTTGAAATGAAGGAAAGCTTATTTATTGATATCCCCGATAAGCTACAAATATGTACATATACATGAGTCAAAATAAACACACACAAGAGGGAGCCTTCACAAAGGTTGCTTAGGAGAAGTCTCAGCAGTCGGTAGAGCCCCAGAAAGAGAAGGCACCGGAGGGGGATCATTTGGAGCCTCAGTACTGGACAGAACCCTAGGAGGAGGAGGCATCAGAGGTTGATCATTTGGAGCTTCATTACGCGGTACAGCCCCAGAAGACGAAGGCAATAAATGCCTTTGGAACAAACCCACAAATCTCTGATGATCAAGTAAAACCTGACCATCAGTTTCCTTCATCTGGTCAAGCTTCCTCTTCATGTTTGTAGCATAGTCATGTGCGAGCCGGTGCAACTGTTTATTCTCATGCTTGAGCCCTCTAATCTCCTGTTTGAGACTCATCACTTCAGCCGCCAATGATT